GACAACGCAGCGAAGAAGCTCATCGCGCCGCGGCTATTCTTTAGCGTCTGTAGAAAGCAGGCGCAATAGGCAGCAGGCTGCTGCAGTCGGTTTGGTCAAGCCCTCAACGATTCATTGCAACCGTCTGCCAGACTGTAGAGGGGAAGTCGGCGACAAACAGGTGATTTTTTGTCAGCGGAGCGGAGGCTGCTTGTTTAATCCGTCGACGTCTCTGTATGGGTCTTGCATAGCTATGCAACGACATAATAAATTACCATTATCTTTCAGGTGGTGTTGAGGTTTTCGGTATGGTTGAAGGATCCGGGGGTGAAAGAGTTTGCGTTGTCTGGGGGGGGGGAGGCGGGGGGAGGGGGGGCGGGGGGGTGCGGGGGTTGGGGGATCATGCGGGTATTCGGGGCTTGGCAGCCAAGGCCTTCAACCCGCAATTTTAGGTTTTTCCGTCACGCAGCCCCGAACTCTGTACATAATGCATATAAATATATACATACATGTATACATCTATCTCTCTGGTTATATATATATATATATGTATGTATGCCTGTATGTAGGTAGGTAGGTAGGTAGGTAGGTAGGTAGGTAGGTAGCTAGGTAGGTAGGTCGGTCGGTCGGTCGGTCGGTCGGTCGGTCGGTAGGCAGGCAGGCAGGCAGGCAGGTAGGTAGGTAGGTAGACAGATAGATAGACAGATAAAACGATAGGCAGAGAGAGGTAGATCGCGCAATAGATAGATGCATAGAAAGACTGATGCATGGGTAGTAGAATGTGTAAATGTATACGCAACAGCCCATCTTTACATGGCTCTAAACCCTAAACCGTAAATCCTAATTAAACCCCTGGAAGCAGGAGCTGCCGCAAGAAGGACTGCATTGCTTGTACCGCAGAAAAGCGGCGGCTAAAGCTGACGAAGAGTTCTACCGAAGCACACCCTAGAGCAATTTCATAAGAAACAGCAAGACTTCTGGGCTCGAGCAGGATGCATGCCAAGTGCGTGCATGTTGTTCGTTTTGGAAAACAGATGAAGTTTCAAGGGACTCACGTCGAAGCATAAAGCAAAAGAACAAATGGCACTCTTCACGGTGCCGGGGCAAAGTATTCGAGGTAGCCTGAGCGATATTCGGCGCGATTAGGCGCGACGCAACCATTGCTGTCACTCTCCACTTGAACTTCGTTGCCACGCAGCCCATGAGCATCACTGTAGAGATAGATAGACAGATAGATAGATAGACAGACAGATAGAAAACAGATAGAGAGATCGAAAGATATGTAAAAGATGTTGTCTCAAACGACAAAGAAGATGGATCCAAATTCGATCGGGCAGGCTTGGACAGGCCGTTTGAAACTTTCCCGGCGTGCTTGCCCAAGCATCCTGCACCCTCAACTCCAAACCTTAAGTGTCATACACAACAGCAACACTAACCATAAGCCTAACACCATGGGAAGCCCAAAACTTATTCGACATGGTGGGAATGTTATGTGAAGCCCTGCGTTTCGCAGCAGAAGTCCAAATACCAGTTTGGTAAACCGCTCCTATGCCTAATGCTCAAACCACAAACGAGAAGCTCGGAACCCCCCCTCCCCCGGTTTCGGTAGTTGTAAACGCTCTATAAGAAGCCCTGGAACCCGCTGTCGTCAGACACGACTTCCGAAAGCCGTGTAAGCGTGCGGCTTTCTCTTGGGGTATATGAGAATATGCCGTAGAAAACTGCGCAGACTTCAAGAACCTTATGAATCAACCAGTATAAAACCTGCAAAACGATGTAAAGCCCTAGCAAGACTCTATTGCACCCTGTGCAACCCGTTTACAATCCTACGAACCCAGGACAACCCTATGACCTATGATCCCTCTAGGCCCTAAAACCCTAGATCCTAAACCCTAAACCCTAAAGCCTAAAACCCTAAATCCTAAAAACCCTAAAACCCTAAAAACCCTAAAACCCTAAAACCCTAAAGCCCTAAAACCCTAAAGCCCTAAAGCCCTGAAACCCCTAAAACCCTAAACCCCTACAGCCCCTAAAAAACCCTAAAACCCCCAACTAAAAACCCCGAACTCCAGGATGCCTTAAAACCCTGACACCCCTAAAACCCCCAAACCCTAAAACCCTAATGCCCCGTTAAGCCGAGGATCTCCGGCAGGTCCCCGAAAACCTCTTCGCGACATTGGAAGGAGCCTTAGAACACCAGGGCTCCCACTTGGAGATAAAGGGCTTTAGGGCTTTTAGGGGTTTAGGGTTTTAGGGGTTTAAGGTTTAGGGTTTAGGGGTTTTAGGGTTTAGGGGTTTAGGGTTTAGGGTGCTTGGAGATGTATGAGTAGAGTTATAAGTAGGGTAAGTATAGTTATAGCCCAATAAAGGGACTTATAACCCCACTTATAACTACCTAGGAACCTCCTAGCAGATCCCATGGTCGATGGGCGGTGGGGATGGGGGCTTTAGGGGCTGAGGGTTGAGGGGCTCATAGGTATGTGAACTATACTGAAATAGGCAGAATTCACGGAACGGAGAGAGGGTCGAGGGGGGGCTTGTAGCTATAAGAGGGCTTGTTGAAGCATTGGAAGCTTTATGAAAAATTGATAGAGGTGAAAGGGGGTTGTCAGGCATTTTGTACAGTGGTGTAATCTACATACAGGCTCAGCAATTACCAAGATTATTCCTTACAACTCCTTCTTGCGCATGTATTATACGATGGCCTCCAAAGCACAGGCATTCGATGTCTTGTTGTTGAAGGTGTTTACACGGGCTTGACCGGTATCCGAAGGCTTTTGTAAGGGTTCTATTGTGATCTACGTACAACGGCTTTCAGGGGTTACAATCATGTAGGGGCTTCTGATACGGGGAGCCCCCGAATAATGGTTGGAGTTTTTATAGGGTGTCAAAAGATTTTAGCAAGGGGGCATTGACAATCAGAGTTTTGGTGTGTAGCGTAGTATGGGTGTATACTTGGAGGTTCATGGTTAGTTGTAAGTTGTGTTGTAAGTCGGATAACTATAGTTGTAACCCATATAAGAGGACTGGCAGCCCCACAAAAAATCACCCATGAACCTCCAGGGCTAGGGTCTTAGGGCTTGGGGTTGAAGCTTCAGGGTTTTGGGCTTAGGGGTTTAGGAATTTGGGCACGGGGTTTAGGGTTTAGGGTTTAGGGGGTTTATTGCAATTGTATGTACCAAGCTAGCTCTGTGGTGCTGAATGCCCTCATGCAGCTTGCTTGCACTTCTTTTCTCGTTTATTGTCTACAGCGTCTTTCCCGAGTTTCAGGGTTAGGTTCTCAAGATGGTTGCACAAGGTCTCAACAAGGGTTCTATGTTTGGTTTACCATGCCAGGGTTTCTTTCGCTTTCGCTGTAGTGCTAAGCAACGCAAGATCGGTTCGGGCCGAGAGAGGGATGAGGTTTGAGCCTCCCTTGTGGCTCCTTTCGGTGTTGAGGGACTAGGGTTTAGGGAGTTGAGCGAGGGTTTCAGAAACATGTAACCTAAGTTCTCGGCGAGAGCTTACAGGATTTATCCAAGTCGGCGGGCCTAGGTTATGCAACTTATAACCCACCCTAAACCCTAAACCCTAAACCCCAAGCCCTAAACCAAATCTACCCATGAACCTGCAAGGAAGCCCTGACCCCTGAGTTGTGGAGCGGGGCTGCCGACATGTGCAGTAACTGTCAGGGTCGATCCTTCCAAGCTTTAATATAGGTGTCTAAATAATTACCAAACATAGTATACTGATTTATTTTGTGGGCCCCGAAACCGTATTCTAGATAAAAAAAGTACGTTATAGGAACTCCGGAAAGCCTTCTTCATTATGGAGGCCCCTATTTAACAAGCCTTCGTGGTTTCGGAAGGTTGGCATGTAAGATCGAGGGTTTAGGTTTAGGGTCTAGGGATTTAGGGTTTAGGGTTTATGAAATTAGCGTCTGGGGGCCTAAGGGTTTATAGTGGACCAAGTAGGGTGAGACAGGGCTCATGGGGACCGGAACGGTGGATTCCGCTTGACACGCATGCTGCAGGTTTCATGGGTATTTATAGACTCCGCAACCCCTGAATGGAGAAAAATGCCTCAAGTGATCGAAGGGCTCGGAACATTTTTTCAGGTAGAATCCGTTTGGACTTGGGCAAGATCTGGGCTAATCGCCAGTTTCAGGGTTTACTAAATGGTCACTGCTAGGGCTGCTAGGGTCTCTGTAAGGATTCTAGAAGGGTAACAGTGATATTGACGTAGGAGACGGAGTATTTCGCGATGCCATCCCTAAACCCTAACCCTAAACCCTAATGTCTGTTCCAATTTTCAGGCCTATTGACTCTTCGACTGTTAAAGGCCCATCTCCAGAAATGAACCTGAACAACTCAACAACTCGAAGAGTTTCAAACACGAAGCCCTAATGTGGAAGCCTGCATTCTAGAGTGGCAAGCAAACCCCCAGTAGCAAGAAGTTCTGTAATGTGTTGATCAAGACCTCCACCTGTCAAAGCCCCGAGCATGCGTCCCGAAACCCTACACCCCAAAGCTGTAAATCCTAAACCCTCTTCTGACGCCGCAAGGAAGCTGCCATTGCGGACTGCCCAATCAAGGAGAGCATGTGGGGGTTGTTCGAAAGGTCATTTTGAAGGAGGGAGCATCAGGAATATTCGTAGGGGCCTTGATAATTAGAAAAGGGTTCTGGGGGTTCTTTATTATAATTGTGATAATCGTAGTATGATATACCCCAAATCCTATTCTAATCATTAAGGCCCCTGTATTATACTTCCTTATGCAGAGATGGGCCTACCTTGTGGCTGTCTTGGGGACATGTGTTTTCAGCAACTTCTGCTTCTTGAGTGGTTCAGAGTGCGCGAAGCCCTTCGCTTTTGGATTAAGGGCTCCAGACCTTGAAATGTTGGGGGTCAGGGTTTCGCGGTACGTGTTCGTGTTCCGGGTGTTGCAACTTATGGCGGTTCCTTGGCTTCGAACCACGATAGGAGCCTACATCATACCAATAATATTAGTTTGTGGTTCTTATTGTATGTACCATATTATTTTGTGGTTGATTTGTATTGTATAGTGTAAGAAAGCTACCTCCAATTATCAAGGCCCCTCTATTACTGCCTTGGGGTGCTAAGGCTTAAACCCTAAGACTTGAATCCCTAAACCCCTAAACCCCTAAACCCTAAACCCCTTAACCCCCCCTAAACCCTAAACCCCTAAACCCCTAAGCCCCTCTTTCTGCTGCCTTTTACTAGGGCAGGCTCGGGAAGTTCCTTCCTTGGAGCTTCATTTATGGGTAGTTTTTTAAAAAGTTGGCTTACTACTTCGTCGAATATAGCTGTTTAGGCTTTAGGGGTTTAGGGCAGTTCTGGGTTTAGGGGTTTAGGGTAGTTTAGGGTTTAGGGTCGTTTAGGGTTTAGGGGTTGAGGGTAGTTTGTTACACAAGTTATCCTACTGAAAAGCCTACTTGCAACCACCCCTGAACCTCCTAAACCCTAAACCCTAGACCCTAAACCCCTAACCCCTAACCCCTAAACCCGGAACCCCCAATTAGCTGAGAACAACTGGAGAATCTCCGCGTTTTTGCGAGGACGACCCGTTTTGGGCAGCTGTGCATCAGCCTCGAGGTCAGCATGATGGGCGGCATGCGGTGTTGATGCGTTGGTCTTGCCAAAGACCCTAAACTGGTTTAGGGTTTAGGGTTTAGGGTTTAGTAAACCCTAATTAAACCGCTGTTTCGGGAGTGGCTTTCGATGGAGGCCAGAGATTGGGATCCAGCAGTTCTACGAAAGTGAGGGGTAACAACTAACAACACTATCCCGCAATATCCCCTTATGACATCAAATACTGATACGCACCACCATTTATACCACAACCTAGCGCAAATCCTTATTCTGACTATGAAGGCCCCAATAACCATATGAGGGTTTCCGGTGGTGTGCTGCTCCTGTTTGGCGGTCGTGGCGGGCCGGGTACTTAACCTGCCCACGTTTCTGAGTCCTTTAGGTTCCGACCAGACAGGCTCATGGTATAGTGGTTTAGGGTTTAGGGTTTAGGGGTTTAGGCTTTAGGGTTTACGGTTTTGGGTTTAAGGTTTAGGGGTTTAGGGTTTAGGGTTCAATAGAGGGATTTGCGTAATTACAAATTCCTTTCCTTCGGCTCCTATGCTAGATCACCCAGAGAATCCGGGTTCCCCACAGTATACCCCGACCCCCCCCCCCCGATCGGAAATTCTGCAAAAGGCTCTTGGCAAGGTTCCCTAAACCCTAAACCCTAATTCCCGAGCCCTAAACCCTAGTTCCTAAACCCTAAGCCCCAATTCCGAAACCCTAAACCCTAATTCCCGAATCCTAAACCCTGATTCCTAAACTCTAAGCCCCAATTCCGAAACCCTCAACCCTAATTCCCGAATTGTAAACCCTTGTTCCTAAACCCTAAACCCCAATTCCGAAACCCTCAACCCTAATTCCCGAATCCTACACCCTAGTTCCTAAACTCTAAACTCTAATTCCGAAACCCTTATCCCTAAACCCCAATTCCCGAACCCTAAACCCCAACTCCTAAGTCCTAAACCCCAATTCTTTCCGTCCCGAAGGCATCGCATGGTCTCTGGGCGCGCACCACGCCCACAAGTCTTGCGATGACGAAGCCGTGCTGCAGCTTAATTCATAAGGGTAGGGGGCCTTAATACCTTTAATGAGGACCTAGCAAGGCCTATTTAAGGGAGTATAGTGTAGTCCCCTACCTCCCTCCCCCCTATCCCCCTAACGGTCCTTATGATTGATACGCATCTGTGGGCTTCTTGTAAGACTTCAGAATCAGAGATCTAGAGATAGGGAGACCCTGAATCCGAAACCATATCCAAGGAGACCCTGCACCCCAACACCTACAGCCTACGCCAGGAGACGAAGGCTGTCAGCCAGGAAGAGCGATCGAAAGAAGTATCCGGCTAAGAACCAAAGATTCTCACAAGTTCTGCCTGCTTTCACCCCTAAGCCCTAAACCCTAAAACCCTAAAGCCCTAAACCCTCATCTCCGATCCCTTCGAGGACCTGGAGCCAAGACCCTACAGCCCTTGAAAACTCGTCGATCCCAACCTAAAGCCCCTCCTAACCTGGAAACACATCCTCATAAAATCTGAAGAACTATAATGGTGACAAGAATAATGATAATGATCATAGCAATAGTAATAGTAGTAATAAGACTAGTAGCAATAA